ACCGCTAAAGCCTCCTCCATTCCATATCCCGCTATTTTCTGGTTGGGCCAAAAAATAACCAGCGAATGACTTCACTTCTTAAAAAATTCATTTATACTTGAAAAATGGATGAGGTGGGATTCCCTTCTTTTAAAAAGTGTTTCTAGAGCTACTAAGAAACTTGCAAAGTAGTTTACAAACTAGCTGGTGGAAATCTTCCTGTGGATTGCACCAGGGAGGCGCGGTGCGGGTCAGCGGTGGCTGCTCCTCTTCTACTTCATCAGAAGTGCTCTCCTGGCTTTTAATTTCTCCGTTTTCTGCGGGTAAATCTTCCTTAGTTTCTTGGGTAGCACTTCAGCCAGTTTTCCCTTTGCCTTCCCCGCCCCCCTTTTCCTTTTGCTTGCACTTTCTTGTCCGATGATTTCTCCTTTTGGGGCTTAGCTGACCAAGTCGCCTTGTCGCCTTCCTCTTGGGCATGATGGCGGTGCAGGGGACGCGTGCCATTGCTGGGGTCTGGGCAGCGCAAGAGCCTAGCCGCCGCTGCTCCTCCCTCCAGCCACCTGAGCTGCTAGGACCGCTGCTCCAAACTCTTGTTGACATGTGTTAGCATTGACAGCATTAAGAAGTGAGACCTTGAAGAGGTTGTCATTACACGGTGTGGACTGCGTGGGCTCCGAATAAAAGGATTCTTGTGGCCTCCACCCTTTCTCGCTTGCTCTCACCATGCGTCTTAGGAAGCGGCACAAAAGTTGCTGATGCAGCAACTCCTTCTCTGACTTTCCAGAACCATGAGCCAAATAAACTACTGTTTATAAATGACCCAGCCTGCGGTATTCTGTTACAGCAGCACGAAATGAACTAAGACATTTCTTAACTAGAAGTTAAATTCTCAGCAAAACTCAACCACAGAAACTCTGTGGGACACAGGTCACAGGACACCAGACACAGTTGAAGGTGGCAAGGGGCAGAGTGTGTGGGGGGTGGTGGTGGTGGGGACTGAGATGCTGAACTGGGAAAAGCCGGGTCATAGAGAGTCTTCTCACCAACCAGACGACCCCCAAACCCCTTTCCTCCTCAGTTCTGCTCCCAGAACGCCATTAGCCAAGTGATGCTGGAGATAGTGATTTTACAAACAATGTGCAAGACGGATTAAAAAACAACAACTGATGGCTCATCACCTGTTCATGTAGGTCAGAGACCAGCTAACAAGCCCTCCTCCTGTACATAACTTCCAATCAGGTCTTAGTACTGTACCTCCTTTGTAAGTTGTGGGAGCTGTAGAACTTAATATTTTGGGTACACCGTCTTTAAGAAAAAGACGAGCCCACGGAAGTGAGACTTTGGTTTCATTAACTTCGTAGTAAATCTGCCTCTGTTCCCTTGTAAATATGAACAGGCAACCAGATCTTCATTAGACCATTAAGATATCAGAAAATAGAGGCCATGTGAACAGACAAAAACACCAAAAATTAAGTATATCATAAATATCCTAAAATTTATGAGAATCACCGCATCCATAAAACAAGAACAGGTGATATTTTTTAAAGTCAGAGGAAGAAAAAGCTTGAAAGTTAAAAATATGAGAGTTGAAATAAAAATATCCAAAGAAGAATTATATTGAGAAGTAAAGAATTTATCAAATGAATAGAACAAATATACAAAGAGAAAAGTATTAGAAGAAAAAAGTTAAAAAAAACAGAGAGTCAATCCAACTATCAGGAGTCTTAGGAAAGAAGAAAGAGGAGAAAAATAAGGGGGAAAAACTCAACCAGAACCAAAGGACACAGGGCTCTGGATTGAAGGGACCTGCAAATGCCCAGCATAAGGAATGATGGAACACTCAAAAATGCATAGTATGGTGAAATTTCAGAACGTCAGGAATGATGTGAAGATCTTATGTTTTTCTGGGCGTTGGGGTGGAATACAAAAGGATCAGGAATTAAAATGCTATCAGTCTTCTATACCCTGGATGCTAGAAGACATTTGGAAGGATGTGTTCTGAGGGGAAATAACTATCAACCTAGAACTCTATCCAGTCAAACTATCAAACACCTGCAGCAAAGTAACACAAACATTTCCAGATTGGCAAGAAATGCACTCCAAAAGCTCTTACTGTACATCCTGGTCTTAGGAAGACACCAGAAGATGTGCTTCAGCAAAATAAAGGAAGAGGAAGATTTAAACTCAGAAAGCAGGAGATCCAATGTAGGGAAGAGGCAAAAGAAATTCTAAGAATAATGAAAAAGAAAACCCCAGGGCTCAGCTGGGCAGCAAATCTGCAAAGCAACCAGTCTAGCTTAGGGGAGAATGTTGGGGGAGTCAGAAGACCTCCAGGAGAAATACTAGGATTGGTAGAAAGTAGTGTGGAAAAAATGCAGGCAGGTATGTGACAAAGTCTTTGAAAACATTCATGACAGAAGCATAGAAAACTAAGCACATGGAAACAGTCAATTACTAACTTTGGTTTTAAAAAAGGAAAAATAACAGTGATACAACACAATTCGACCTGGATCAGCAGTAAATGGTCACATGATCACATAATCACAATATGCCATATATCATAATATGAACACTAGTAATCAAATGTAACCAAAGCTTTGGAATATAATTCTATAGAGTAGAAGGATGGATGGGAAGTGAGAAAGAGTTATAGGAGACCCAAACCTTCCACTACCAAAACGGGAATGCAACAACAATGATTAAAATTAATGAGTCAAGAAATGACAGAAGTATATTATTTAAAAACATGCCAGATCACATAAGAAGAAACCATTAAAAGGACTGAAATTGATCACAAAGTGGAGTGGGACAACCAGGGAGAGGTGGCTCAATGAACTGCTGTTGTTTCTTTTTAAGCCTTTAAGTAACCTTTTCAGTATATGCATACGTTTGTAACAAAAGTAATTTTAATTTTTTTAAAATAGTAAGCAAGTTAAGAATTGGAAACAGCACATGTACCTTGACCCTCAGTTATTTTCAGCTATGACACAGGGATTTTTGACAAAGGCAGCTGGACTGCCAGGGGTCCCATCCTAGACTCCACCAGTCATTAGCTGGGTGACCTTGGGTTAGATTGCTTACCCATTCCAAGTCTTAGATTCCTTGCCTTTGGCTGGAGGTAATGGCTTCACGGGTTGTGATGAAGACTAAATGTGTTGATTTGTAAAAGGCTTAGGGCTTGGTAAACACTAGCAGTTTGTGAAGGGAGGCAGAGAAACACACAGCTGCTAAAGGGAGACTAGGGTGCTGGAGGAGAGCTCTTGTTTTTGTTTAGCTTTTAATGGGATGCAGTTGAGCCAGTGTGCATGCTGGTGGGTGGGGCGAACATGGTAGAGACGGAGAGATGGGGTAGGAGAAAAAGCCAGATAACTGGAGAAGTGCAGTGGCGTTCAGGAGGAGGGACGTGGCTCCATGGCGCATGTGCATCGATGGGCCTGTCAAAACAAGATGGGGAAGAGGAGAAGAGACGAAGGTGGAGACACACAGGACCTTGAGAGATTCCCTCTTGACTTGCACAGACAGGCTCAGAGGATGAGGGCCCTCAGTGCTTCCTGGTTTGTGTTCAGACCCCACACTGCTGTCAGCCTTTCTCCACAGGTACCAAGTGTCATAGTTGTCACCAAAAGGCAAGAGAATACCAGTGTTTCATCTCAAGCCTCGGAGCAGCAAACTGGACTGCACTGCTTTTTCCCTAACTTAGGGAAAGGTTTCCTTGTTGGGGTTTTAATATATCTACAGCCAATTTTCATGACTTCTCAATTAAGCAAATTTCCTGTTAAAGTACAAGAACAAAATTGCAAATATGTCATTTCTGGAAAATGTGAGTGTATACAACAAATTCATTTGTGGTCCCTGAGAAATGGGGACAAGGAAGAATCAAAGTCATGGTGTCATCTCTACCTACACTTGAGAAAACCAAGTTGAAGCATTTCCTTCTACAGAAGCCTAAGGGCAGAGCCAAATGAATTATGGAAGAGTCTACATCCTTGCAGAGGAAGATCTGTAAGCAGAACTCCCATACTGGAAGGAGAAATGTGTTCTTGTAGGAGGCAAAATGAACAGAATGCCAGACTTTTTTTCTCTACCAAGGAAGAAAATAAAACAGGCCTGGCCTAACTCGCCACTGGTTTCCTACTTATCTACAGAAGGTACCACACCATCCCATCCCAAGTCAGACAGCTGGTTCCTTTTACGCCCTTGTCCTTGTCGGCTATCAGACACTCATTCCTATCATTCATTCCTATTTCATTCATTTTTCTTTATGGTCTGTGATGAACCAGACATAGGAGTGAGCACTGGTGACACACTGTGAGTCAAAGAGCCTTGGCTCCTACCCTTGAAGTGGCCATACCATCATCCTGACCAGGCTCCATCCACCCAACTGCATAGCCTTGCTTTGGAAGCCACCATGCTGTCACTGGGGCTGCTGTGACAGCTCCTGCTGGCCTCTTCCTTCCAGGCTGAGCCATCTCCTTCCTCACTTTGCAGCTGGCATGAGGCTTCTAGGCCTGCATCTCAATAACATCACTACCCTAGTAAGAACCTCTGGATGACTCCAGTACTCATGCCTTTCAGGGTCCTGCGTTCTCTCTGCTGATGCTGATCTCCTCTCATTCCTCCCCCCCAACCCAACTCGCTTCTACTTGAGCTGAAGCTCTTTAGTTCCTCAATTGTTCCCCTGGGCCTTCATAAGGCTGCAATAGTTTTCCCTTCCCTACCTCTACACCTTCACCTGGCTAATTCCTCTTCATACTTCAGGTTAGGGAAAAAGGCTTTTTCTGACCTCCATCTCATCCCATCTACCTCCTCCCCCACATTAGACCAGAAGTTCTATTCTAAGCCCACAGCCCCCTGCCTTTCTTACAGCTTCACCTTTCCATTCTTGCCTGTTTTTGTTGGTGAAGTGTCTTGTTGCATGTGTAAAGTGTGAGTTCCTTGAGGGAAGAGACCACATCACATTTCTGACCACTGCAATGACAGTGCCCAGCACCTGACCAGGGGAAGGAGAAAAGCAGGCTTACCTTTGGCTGCATCCACAAAATCTCTCTTAGTGTGGGAAAGAAACTGATTGGCTAGTGCCTCCCTAATTTGATCCATGGAAGCAGGGATCCAGGTCCTTGATGTCATCCTTGCATACCCTTTAGGTAGTGTCCACTGAAAGAAGTCCTGTCAATGCAAGCAGAGTTTGCAAGAGAATACACACAGGTTCATCTAATGAAATTGAGGTAGATTGGGGAAAGAGAGGCATGGGAAACAGGAGCCAGGAATTTAGAGATGAACACTGTATTAATAAATAGCTTGATTAAAAGCACACAGGCACTGTTTGCTTTAAGCTTTATGCTCCCTAACTAAACTGTAACATACAGCAAGTCCTCTTTATTTGTGGGTTTATTAATTCGGTTTTGATCAAGGATGGTCAAAAAATATTTTTAAAAATCAAAAGGAATAGCGAAACCAAAAATTTTCTTTTTTCTTTTTTTATTATATTCATATGTGCATACAATGTTTGGGTCATTTCTCCCCCATTCCTTACCTACCCCCCACCTCTCGCTGCTCCCTCCCTTACCCTCCCAACCCCTCGCTACCAGGCAGAAACTATTCTGCCCTTATCTCTAGTTTTGTTGAAGAGAGAGTCTAAGCAATAACAGGAAGGACCAAGGGTTTTTGCTAGTTGAGATAAGGATAGCTATACAGGGAGTTGACTTGCATTGATTCCCTTTGCGTGTGTGTTACCTTCTAAGTTAATTCTTCTCGAACTAACCTTTCCTCTAGTTCCTGGTCCCTTTCTCCTATTGGCCTCAGTCACTTTAAAGTATCTGCATTAGTTTCTCTGTTTTGAGGGCAACAAATGCTATCTAGTTTTTTGGGTGTTTTACCTATCCTCATACCTTCCTTGGGTGTTCTCGCTTTATCATAAAACCAAAAATTTTAAATTCCCATGCACACACTACTCAACTCAGTGGATACAGAGAAGCTTTCAGTCTGTCCTGCATATTGTCAGTTGTGTTTGAATTGTCATCTTCTGGTTCCCGGCCCTTCATTTTGTGAAAATATGCCTTCCCAAAAGCAAATGGTGCTCAAAACACAAGGTAAAAGTGAATGTGTTTAATTGAGGTGATCAAGTGAAAATCTGAGATGTGTTGAAAGGCTGCATGTCTTTAGCAGACGTTGGGCAGCATTACAGGAACATGGATCAAGTATCCAAGTACAGCACTGAGCTCTGTGTATCATATACCCACCCACCCAAGGATACCACAAGTTACCATGTAGTTCAAAAAAAAAAAAGCAGCTCCACCTCACTGATCTTGCTCACTTGTCCAAATAATTAGTAAGCTCTGGAAACTAAGCTAGGATGTTTTTTTAAAAGTCACTTGTCCTAGGACCAAAGCATCTGAGAAAATGACTCCTTTGATCACAAAAGTGTTTATAAGGGAAAGTATTTATCTTGTTAGAACACCTGTTTTAAAGGGAGCATCTGAACAGCCCATCCTTTGTGTAAGGGATGCTCAGACATCTAAGCCATAAAGACCCAAATTTAATAAACAAACTAGCCTTGATATCTCTGGTTCCAACTGATAATGATTAAGGGTACCAGGTACCCAAAACAAAGGGGAACACTTGTCCCAATGGTGAATTTAAGCCATCCTACCAATCTACTTTCTCACCATTAACACCCCTTGCTGTTACAGCACTCATTGCGCTTCTTACCAGATGTGTTTACACCCACTTCTGAGTGTGTTCTATCTTTCTATCTTTGGTTTGATTTACTAACAAATTTTCTTGGTCTCTACCTCGATGTGCCCTAAAATTCTTTTTTGTGACATCGGGAGCTTGGTACCCAAGAAAGACCACCTCCCTTTTGGAGACCTTTTCCCTGGAGCCTAGTTGAAGAATCAAAAGTACAAATGTTTGTCCATATTCTTTGGAATCTTTTCTTTCTTTTTTTTCTTTTTTTTGCAGTACCAGGGTTTGAATTCAGGGCTTTACACTTGCTCCACACAGGTGCTGTAGCACCTTGAGCCAGGCCTCCAGCCCTTCTTTGGAATCCTTTATGTCTGTGCAGAGATCCTGTCAACAGGAGCCATTGGGTTGCCTAGTGCAATGCAGGTACTATGTGCATTTCTGTGACCTTCCACACTGATGACAGGAAATGGAACTGCAAACACCAAATAGTTGTGCGTCCAACCAGAGTTTTCCTACAGAGAAGACCAGAAAAGGAGAAAACCTATGCTATTCTAGTTCTGGCCACAGGTGCCTAGGGAGCCAGACAATGGCTGCTTTCTCCTTGGGAGCCCCAGAGAGAAACCCTATGGGCTTCAGCAGCATCATGAATGGCAGGGAAGGGCAGGCATGGTGTCCTCTGCACTTCCAACAAGATCTTATGATCATACAGGTTGAAACCTCCACCCCCTCTTTCCATCTTCTCTCTCATGACCATGCTTCTTATCTCCCTAAGAAAATGGAAGCCACCAGCAGAGAAGCATCTCTGCCCACCAGGTGTCTCCCAGACTGGTACTTGTACCACCCGCATGTGCTGTGAGGGAAGAAGAGCCAGGAGTGCTCCCAGCAGCATGGAGTGCCCCGTGGGTCACTAGATCCTAGATCCTATCTGCTTTAGCTTGCTTCAGCATCCCTCCAATAATTCTCACTTTGCTCTTGCAGCTTCGATTTCTCCCTCTGCTGGGTAGCTGCCATCCATAAACATATCTGCCTTTACTTCTGTCTCACAAAGAAACCCCTCTCTGCCTTCCCATCCTCCCGTTATAAGATGGGTCTCAGTTTCCCTTTATGCTGAAATTCCTTAAAATAGTTAGGTATACTCATTGTTCCAAATTTATCTCTTAAGTCTCTTTTGACCTTTAGGTTCCCTCTCAATTCCCTTCTTTCCCTTATAATTTATCTACTGAAAAAGCAAATTGTGAACACAATACATCTATTGAAGAAGTTTTAGATATGTAAAGGTTCTTAGTCTGGATCTTGTTGATTGCATACTTTGCACTATTTAACAAGCCTCTGTCCACTGAACTCAGTGGACTAGACTGTCAATAGTGTTCAGCTAGACCATAGGAGGCAGGTATTATATTGTTTCTTTCTTAGTGACAGTAGCAGCTGTTGAGGCTCAATGGCTACATGAATAGCAGCTGCACTCTGGCATGCCAACTCTCATTGGCTGAGAGCACAAAGGATAGTGTGCCACTCTAGCTGTCACTGGCTGAGATCACGCAGTCATCTGACACATTAGCTCTCATTGGCTGCCATTCTAGCTCTCATCAAGTAAGAGACTTTAATAGCTCTTAGAGGAAGGAAAATGATATGCCTGTATGTATGTATATGTAAACGTGCAATATAATGTTGTAATCCATTCCTTTACCTTAATTTAAAATTTTTAAGAACATTTCAGAGGCAAGTTGTAATGAATAGATGCAATGAGGAACCAAGTTAAATGGGTATGTGTAAATGTTCTAATGAATCCTAAGCCTTCATCTCCATCTCCTGTCTCTCAAATGAGATCCAAACCTGTGTACTCAACTGCCTGCCTAGACATTTCTTCAACCAACACATTTTCAACAGACCTCCTATTTCCCCCACCCAACCTGGTCCCCCATCATGTTCCAGCTCAGTAAACAGCATCAGCATAACCAGCCATACAAGTAGGACATCTCAACATCACCTTTCTCTCTTCCCTCTTCTCTATCTTTCACATCTTTTTTGTCATCAAATCTTGTCCATTCTACCACCTTGTCATCTATTGAATGCATCCAGGTGGCAGGTGAATGAAACCCTGTAGTACAACTGAGCACTGCCTTGTGTGATGGGAAAAGTGCACACACAATGCCAGGAAACAAGATCACAATGCCAGGGATGATTAGTTACTTCCATCCAGAGGAGGAGGGAATTGGAGATGGCTCTTTCTAAACAGAACCTTGAAGAAATATAAGCAAGTTGCCTTGATGGACAGGAGACGGGCATTGTTAAGAGAAGTAACAGGGATAAAAAGTAGGGAGATTTGAGGGAGCTCAAAACATAATACCAAACACAAGCATTTTCACATGCCAACAAGTAAGTCACCCCAAATGCCCATCAAAGGATATATGAAAAAACACATTACACATACAATGCTATTCAATCATGAAAAATATTGATACTCACCACAACATAGGTGGACCTCAAAACATTAAATGAAAGAAACCAGACACAAAAGGTTACCAATTACATGAGTCCATATATAAAATATTCATGAAAGCAATCCATAGGGATAGAAAGCAGATTGGTGGTTGCCAGGGGCAGGGGCCTGGGAAGGGGGTAAATAATCGGTAGGGGGTTTCCTTCTGGGTGATGGGAATGTCCCATATGTGTCTGCATAACACAAATATATTAAATGCCAGTGAATTGTTCCCATTAAAATGGTTCATTTAATATCACATGACTTTCATTTCATTTTTTAAAAAGCTTCAAATCCCCATGGGATAGAGGAGACATAGTTAGAAAGAAATGAGAAGGTAGTCAAGAAATAGTCCAAGAAGGACCATGATTCAGTCATTACAGATAGATAAAGGCTCTTGACAACAGGTTCAAACTCTCATTCCTATGGGCTATGAAGACAGTGTTAAGTTCAGCAGGTATGTAGTTGTCATCTTACTTGATTGGGATAAGATCTGTGGCTACTTAGTCCTCTTGAAGTCTCATTTTTTATCATGTTTTCTTTAGAATATGGTTTCCAAGCATACTCATCATTGTACTGTGTCTGATTCAGAATGGGATCACCTAGTGAATATGTATATCCTAATCTTCTGATACTCTTTTGACTACAAAAAAAAACAGCAGAAATTAATGTAAGGGATTAAGGATCTGATCTCACAATGGTACACATGTCAAATCATTTTATGTGGTTTATATTTTTAAAGATTGACTGGAGGCTGGCAGAGTGGCTCAGGTAGAGCACCTGCCCAGCAGGTACAAGACCCTGAGTTCAAATTCAAGTACCAAAAAAAAACCAGATTGACAAGCTTAAGACTTGATGCCAGGCATAATTTAATTTAGATACCCTTGATAAGAAACAATCCTTAACAATGGTAAGAGAGGCCTAAAATGCCATTAACTAAAGGACAGATACGACAGTGCAGAGCAATTCAGTGTGACCAGATAGTTGGTGGAGAAAAGCTTTTCTCTTAAGCGTGTTTCTAGTTGATAAAAGGAAGGAACATACAAATTAGGATGCTGAGTTTTGGTTTGAAAGTCCCAAATGAAATGACTCATCTAGACAATACCAACTGTGTCACTTGCGGCTCAAAAAGAGGGGTCACTAGATATTATGTGCACACACAACACAACCTATTAAATATTTCTGCCAAAGCATGGAATCTGAATCAGATGAGGTCTGTAGAATATTGAATTATAGGAAATACATGAAAAGAGGAGCGTTTTTGATGAAATCAGAAAAATTCAGAACAATGGTTCTGTTGCATCAGCAAAGAAATTGTCAGAAAAAGAGGGAGAAACTGTGAGTTAAGTGAAGGAGACATATTAACCAAATGCCATGTGTGGACCTTGTTTGAATTCCATTCCAAATCAATGTTTTTAAATTATGAGACAATTGGGGAAATTTGATTGCTGACTGGCTATTTGATACTAAAGAATTAATTTTTAAGGTGGAATAATTACATATTTTTGTTTTGTGTGTGAGTGTTGGAGGTACTGGGGTTTGAACTCAGAGCTTCACACTTGTTAGGCAGGCACTCTCCTGCTTGAGCCATGCCTCCAGTCCATATTATTATATATTTTAAAGCATCCTTATTTTGATACATACAAAATATTTAGAATTGAAATGATATAATGCATGGAACTGCATTTGACAAAATCCAGTGGGAAGGAGGCCAGGTATGGTGGTACATGTCTGTAATCCCAGCTACAGAGGATGATTTCAGCCCAGAGCTGACCAGGACAAAAACAAATACCCCTACCTGAAAAACAAACTAGAGGCAAAAAAGGTTGCAGATGGTCCAAGGGGTAGAGCATTTACTAACAAATGCAAGGCCCTGTGTTCAAACCCCAGTACCACCCCTCCCCCCATCAAAAAAGAAAAAATCCAGTGGGAAGGATGGGCAGAGGATAGAGCTAAAATTTACCTGTATGTTATTGTTATAGATGAACACTAGCTGGGACTCACTTTTGTATGTTTAAAATAATTCACTCACATTGACTTTTTAGTTGGACACATCTGAATGACTATTTTACAGACATTCAGACACACAGTGCAGATTTTCCAAAGGGGACTCAGCATGAATAACTTTAAAGGAATTGATATTCAGGTCTCAGTTTCTCAATATCCACGTTCCTACATCATATCTGCCTAAGAAGGAACCTGAATATTTATCCAGGCCCCTTTCTTTACCACCCCCCTTTCCAAGGCCTCCATGCCCAGTTAACAGAGGATCTTTCTCTGGTGCTTTGCATAGGGACAGACACTTGGAGCCATAAGAGGAGAAAGGTGCTCAGGGAGTGAAACCTGGTTGTAATGACATCAGGGAAGCCTGCTTGTCCCTCCAGCTCCATAGGTTTCCCCAGGACTGCAGGTGTCCTGATCTTAGGTGTTTCTGTAGAGCAAAGGAGGATGTTGGCATCACCAGGTATTGTGGCCTGGGGGCGGGGTGGGGGTGCCGTGGATTTCAGTACATTGGACAGCAGCATGCCTGAGTAGTATCCGCTTCCCACCTCCTAACAATTGTCTTCAGGGAGAGGACAGCTGAGAAGGCGGAGGGCTTAAAATGGCTACTTTCCCTCACATATTAAATATAAGCATTTTTTCAGCTTTAAAAACAATCCCTAGGAAATGTTAGCTGGAGAGCACAGCGTGTCTGGGCAGGGGAAGAGGATGAGCTGGTGATGATTGCTTTAAATGTGACTAGACTTTTCTGGGACACCACACTTTTCAAGATTACTGGATAAAATTGGTAGAAAAGAATCTAGGGTTTTTTTTTTCCCCCCCAGATTTCGTATTCCTTATTCCATAAGGCACTTTAACCTTATTTTTTAATCCAATCACATTTTGAAGTATTTACTCCAATAGTCAATCCTCATTTCCTTTACGTTGCAAAATATTTAACAATATGTAAAAGATATGCTTTTTAATTGCCAATTAACTTTCACCACATACAATTTTTTGGTCCATTAAATGCATATGAAATTTTTGGTTTGATGTCAGATGAAATCGATACTGTTTCTGACTTTTTTCTAAAGGCAGGGTCTCGCCTCAAATCTGTGACCCTCCTGCCTCAGCCTCCTGAGTGCTGAAATTACAGGCATGAACCACCACACCTGCTTCTGAATTTTAAATGTGATTGTTATTTAATTATTCCCCAAAGTCAAGCGCAGAGTTCTATAAACGTATTTAACTAAGGAATATCACGTTATAAAAACTCCTCAGTTCACAGACCACGTACACATTTCATTGTATTGTGTTGTTACTTGGATATAATTAACCACATCAGACTTGAATCTTTATGCTTTCCTTGTCTAGTCTTCATAATCTCAATTTGCGTTCCATAATTTACCGTTCAGTAGCTTTCATAGCTTTTCTCCAATCATGTATTAATGTTAATATAAACAGAAGGTACAGATAGATTTTACTTTGATGGGGAATAAGCCTGTTTTGTTTATTGGTTTCACAACAAAGACTGATTTTTATCAGGGAGACAAAGATGACATAGCTGTGTGAACTAAATCTTTAGCTCCAAGATTTTGACAAAAAATAATCTGGAAGTATGTGATGATAAAAACTTTTCATCAAAAAAAGAAAAGATTGTAGCAGAAAGCGGGTATTGAAGCTGATGTTTCTGTTTTCCAACTCTTGTTCGAGTATACAATATTAAGCTAGGTGCGTCCAAGTGAAAGAGTAGCAGGTGTAATTTAATAGGCATTTGTTAAGACATGCCTTTTTGGTGTATTTCTCAGAAATTGAGATAAGGAATAATTCGACAAATGGGTGACAAATCATTTCATTATTTGTTTGAATAAATTTGGAGGAGTACCCTGGCAAGTTGTTAGAGGGCCAGTCATTAAACATCATGCCGGGATTTCTGACATATAACTCAGAAAGAGCGTGGAATGGCATAGCTGTGCAGAACCCTTCTCGTTCACATCTACTTATTTACATATATGAACAAGCCTTCTTTTTTTTTTTCAGTGCTGGGATTTGAACTCAGGGCCTACAACTTGAGCCACTCTACCAGCTCTCTTTGGTGATGGTTTTTTTCGAGATAGGGTCTTTTGAACTATTTGCCTGGGCTGCCACAAACTGTGGTCCTCCTGATCTCTCTGCCTCCTGAGTAGCTAGGATTACAGATGTGAGCCACCAGAGCCTGGCTTGAACAAGCTTTTTTAACACTAGCATCTATGGATTGGAATAAGGAAAAAAGGAGCAGAAAAAAAAAAAAAACTGATGCTCAATCCTGTCCCATTCTAAAAATAATAACACTCAAAACTGAATACATGAGCTAATTAAAAACAAAGCAGCTCCATTAATATCATTAAGATGCAGTTCCAAAGAATTACTTTTTGTATCTAGTAATTATTAACATTTGTAATATGTTTATTGCTTTAAGCTATTGTGTAGTAAATATAATTGGAATAACTCAATCCTTAGGGTCACATAGCATGTTTCAAAATTAATTTCAATTAATACACTCAAATAGTTGCAAAGAAGTATAATAGAGTGAAAATAAATTGCTTTCAAACATTACAGCAGAAGAAAATTTTATGGAGGAAGAGGAGCAGGCATAAGAGTTGGAGAAAAGAAAGGACAGAATGGGGGAGGCAGAGATCGGAGTATCACAAGTTCAAAACCAGTCTGAGCTTCATTGTGAGATCCTGTCTCAAAAAGCAAGTGCTGGAGATGTAGCTCAGTGGCAGAACGTTCACCCAGCATTGGAAGACCCTGGGTTCCATTCCCACCACTGAAAAAAGAAATCCTGAATATTTTTTAAAAGACTCATGATGAATATTAATTTACTAAAGCATTTAAAGTACCCACTGGTTATATTTAAAAGTTGACTTTAAAATGTCAATATTTAGACTGGACTGAAGGCTTTATCTTTTGCAGCTATTTGAATTTGTGTTGAAAACGTTCATGAGAACCGTAAGAACATGAATTTGAAGACCACTGACTGAAACTCTCCAAGTATTTGGTTTTGGCTTTCTTCCAAATGTTTCTTCTTCAGACAACAGTTAGTGTCTATGAACCTGGCATATTCCTTGCAGTCAGAGAACGAGAAACTCCCAGTTAAGGAATAACAGGAAGTCTGAAGTTGGGACTTGCAGGTTTGCCCTTCTCAGAGTCTATCATATATTGTGCTGGGGGAAATAAATGCAAATTCCTGAGTAGCGACTTTGTGCAAACCACTCTCCTGGTGCACCCCCTCCTGTGGGAATCACCGCTCCATTTCACCAACAATAAAACTGAGCCACAGATGGCTTGCGACCTGCTTGGGGAAGCAGAGACAACAGGGGCTAGCCAGGGACTTCTCACTACCTTGAAGGATTAGAGATCCTCTTTATTGAGACAATTCAGACTAAAGACAGGCAGTGAAGGCTCCTGTGGTGATTTCACACCTCCCAGAGATGCCATGGGAGTCTGCTCCCCAGCTCCTGCAGAGCTCAGGGAGGCAGCCTGGGCGCAGGTGGAGAGGGGGAGAAGCTGCAGAGGTGTGAGGGAGGGACAGGGGATGGTAATGCCCCCAGCTTTGGAGATGAGGACTGGGGACGGTGGTGATGAGAAGTGTTCACTCATCCATCATTCAGAAGTCACTGCCTGCCCTCTCTAGATAGGGAGTGGCTTCTGTTCATTTGCCATGTTTAGGAACCACAGCCCTATTAGCCTATGTGCTGGATCTATGGGATACCACATAGCCAGCACCTTTAGGAAGAACCAAGGTGGTGATTCCTTGGTTTTGCCATAGGAGGGATTGCCGCCATAGTTGAAGGGGTGCCCTGTGCACAAAACGCACCTGAGTGCATTTTTGTGAGCCTTCCCCTTTCCATTTGTTTTGGATTCTGAATAATAAAAGACTTAAGTGAACAAATTAAAGCGTATATCAATCTGATTCAGACAGTGATCTACCGAATTAAATCCAACGTTGTTCCCGTTTTTGGTGTGAATGCCGTCCTCATCGTGGTAGCATAAGAATCCCAGTTGATATCACCAGCTGAAAGGACAAAAAAAGAAAAGTAAAAAAAGTTTTAAAGGTAGCAAATCAGAATAGTTTGGTCAAATGCTTTTTAAATTAAAATAACTTTAAAAAAAATTAAAATAATTTGGCCGGATATGATGGCACAGGCCAGTAATCCCAGTTACTTAGGAGGTAGAGATTAGGAGGATTTTGGTTGGAGGCCAGCCCACTGAGACCTCATCTCAAATAACAAGCCAGGCACAGTGGTATGGGCCTATAATCTACTACTTGGAAAGCATAGGTAAGAGCATTGTCATCAAAGAAGACCAAACCCAAACAAAAACTGAAGACCTGTAGGAAAAATAGCTAAAAAAACCAAAAAGGGCTGGGGGTGTGGCCTACATGGTAAAGCCTACCAATTTCCAGCAGGTTCAAAACTCAGTCCTGTAAATGAATGAATGAATGAATGAATGAATAAAATTAAAAATATTAAGATAATGTTGCAAAGCAAAAAAATATTTTGGACAGTCATTTTACTTTAGTCTAAAATGTCATAAAAACTACTTATGATCTTGAATAAGAATAAAAGCTTACCTTAGTTATTGGTTTTACATCAACATAAAGATAGGCTTATTGCTTTTTCTGAGCATTCATGCACGCTACTTTAGTGAACTCAAGCCACACACAAAAGACCAGAAGGAAGAAAGTGATCCATGTGAAATTCTCTCTCTAGATGCTCACTATTTGGTGTCAGTGATCAACTTTCATCACATTCGCTATATCGATGCACACACAGATGACTTTACACATGGGATCACCTCAGACACATCCAGTCTGGTCTTGGACACCTTCTCCTGTATTCTTTCTCTCTGCCATTGTCACCCTTCCCTCTCCTCCTCCCTGCTAGCCCATGTTGGCAATCATGTCTGTTTCTTTCCATATCTACACAGATGTCCACATACAAATACACAGACATACTGGGATTTAGTTTTCACCGTTTTGTTTTACAAAAATGAACTGATTAAATTACGCAAGGTGTCTGCTTCTTATTCTGTCATTAGCAGTGTCTTATAGGAAAACCTAGGACTTTCCTGGTGCAGGGGTAACAGCCTCTGTAACGGTGCACAGGTCTGTGGCAGACTGCTATTGAAAGCTATGGGAGTTGGGAAGATAGATTAGAAAAGTCCCAGCGCTGACTCCTGGGTACTCAGGGTCAAGAAGGGGAGGAGCTGGTGAAGGGGCTGAAAAGAACAGTCAGCCAGGCCAGGCCGGGAGAAAATCAGGAGCAAAAGAAGAAAGTGCCGTGGAGGAGAGGTCACCTTGGCAGAATGCCGAATGCATCCGGGATGGTGACTGAGGACCAACTTCTAACTAGACAGAAGCAGCAACATAGTTTATCTGCCTCAAAGTACCACCAAACTTTTTAGGCATAGAGTGCTCATCAGCAACATCTCTGCAGTTCTCCATACCAAAATATTCAATGAAAAATTCTAGAAATTAGCAGTTCATAAGTTATAACACATGCTGTTCTGAGCACCATTGTAAAAATCTCATGCCACCCAGCTCTGTCCTACTGGCACTGTGAACCATGCCTTTGTCCAGTGTGTCCACACTGCCTGCAACCACCCGCCCGGAAGTCGTTTGGCTATCTCACAGCATCACAGTGCTTGCATATCAGGTCCCTGGTTTGGGGCATCCTCTGGGAGTCTTGGAACATATTCTCTGTGGATAAGGAGAAATAACTGTACATGTTTTAAAGTTAAAAATCATTTTGCATATTTTAAAGTTAAAATCATTCACTCTCATTCTATAACAGTTACTTGTTACTATTTATATTTCTTGAGAACCCAGATTGAAATGTCTCTACATTTTTAATAAGCACTACTGCCTGGCACCTATCACCTCATCCCTAAACACGGTAGCCACCTCATTGCCTGAATGAGTTCCCACTCATGTGTCTTATTAGAATCGCTCTAAGCATCTGCTTTCAATTTCTCAATATCCTATAAAGCTGTAAGCCCTTACAGAGCTTAGGGAGCCCCAACCAAACATTTACACTTCTGTTGTCTGTGGGCTTCTTAATGTCCATCTCCCCGTGTCTCCAAACCAGGTCTTGGTTTTAATTTAAAGGCTCAGGTCTAGGCAGACAGCAAATCTGCTCATCTGTGACTATTCCCTGTGGCCTTCTCCGTGGTTCAAGTTCCTTGTCCATCCAAAAAGGACCCCAACTAGAGAACTGAATTCTTGTGTGTCCCCATCTGTACCTTCATTCCTACACTTTCCTGGTGTCTCCTCTCAAGTCCCACTCTGCTAGAAGTGGTGTTATTCTGTGTGGTGGTAATCACTTTACACTTGAAGGCATTTAATCCCAATAGCAGAATTAAATGTTCTTTGTGAAATGAATTCAAGTGTGAAGGAAGAGTAAGTGGGGCAAAAATTGTGAGGCAGGTTGCTCTTAAAGAAGTCTTTCTTTCTTCCTTTCTTCTTCCTTTCCTTCCTCCCTCCCTTCCTTTTTTTTTTTTTAAATACAGGGGATAGAACCCAAGGCCTTACACTTCCTAGCAGGTGTCTTACCACTTGAACCAAACCCACTTGGCCCCTTGTATTTTATTTTTTGAGATAGGGTCTAGATAACTTTTCCCAGGCTGGCCTCAAACTTCTACCTCCTGATCAGCTGGAATCACAGGAACGCATTGCTATACCTGGCTGGAATCACAGGCAGGCATTTCTACACCTGGCTGGAATCACAGGTAGGCATTGCTACACCTAGCTTACAGAAGCCTTCTTCAACCTGGTTGGAGCACATTCCTTTCACTTCTTTCTCCTGAGGCAAATAACACTAACCCAGTCTAGATCACTTTCCAGTTGGGCCCAAATAGCCCTCAAAATCCCTGGCCAAACAGCGCCCCAGGCAGCATCTCCCAGTCAATCTCATGGCTGAGCGCCATCTGCCTCTGTCCCTGCCTGGGGTCTTTCCTCTGCTAAGCACAAGTTGGAGGCTGGAGACTGGCAGCCAGCAGCCATGGATGGCTAGGTATCTATTCCAAGAGTCTGCAGGGACTGGAACTACAGTCCTGGCTGCACAGATCAGGGGCTCCCTCTGCTCCCTAACCCTAACCCTAACCCACCTGGATATACACTCCATTTCCAGGATGCCTCTTTTAACTTGGTGTTTGATGGTTTTTCTTGCTATAGTCCTTTTTGTATTTCTGGGCTTTGACCTCCATTGACAAAGCTTTTGAAAATAAAAAAAAAAAAGTTACTGGACTTCCTTTTCTTCATTAACAGAACTGTTCATTAAAAATCCATAATCACAGCATCCTTAAACTCTGTTTCCAGTACACTGTCAGTGTGTCACGGTTTTCTTCTGCCTTTCTTCTTGGTGAGTGATGCCCAACTCTTTCTCTATAGCTCCAAGTCACCTCTACTGCGATTCTGTCTTCTTGGTTGTTTCTTCCTTCTCTCCTTCATTGCTCCTTCTACAAACAAGTCTTGAGTCCTTTCCCTGGACCAACTTCTGTGCTTGCTACTGGGACACAGAGTCCTCTCCTGGCCCTGATTGGTGCCCAGGAACAACTATGTTTGCTGATATCCTATGTGTCCCCAGCACCCTCGGTAGTATGCAGTTCTTTCTGCTTGAATGAGAAGCATAGGTGGGTCCAGCAAAGACTTCATCAACTTGGTGACATTGAGCTGGGATTGGATTTGATAAGAGTTTGATAGGAAGATGGAGGAGAATGTGGAAACAGCAGGAAGGATGAGTCCAAGACATGGCAAAAGCCCTGAGACCATGCAGCTGAGGAGAAACACTAATAACAGGTCTGTGAGACCTCCTTTGTCCTGCTAAAGCCTTATTCTGCTAACCTTGGTGACTCACTGGAGGTGTCCACTACTACGAAAATATATAACAAAGCTTTCAAAATGAGGCTGGGGCGTGGTTCAAGTGGTAGAACACCTGCCTAGCAAGTGTGAGGCCCTACTTCAAATCCCAGTACTGCCAAAAAAATTATGAAGTCTATCTTATAATTTACAAAGTGTTTCCATATATTATTTTGTTTTATTTTCACAATTACCTGACAGATAACACAGGTATTAATTGTTTAGTGTGCTAAATGATGACCCCCAAAAAATCCATGTTCTAAATCCCAGAAATTGTGAATCTGAGCTTACCTAGAAAAGGGATCTTTGCACATTCAATTAAGGATCCTAAAAAGAGGAAATCATTCTAGTTATCTCAAGAACCTCAAATGCAATTATAAGTGTCCTTGTAAGAGAGAGGCAATGTGACCTCAGAGGCAGAGACTGAAGTAATAAGGCCACAAGTCAGGAATGCTGACAGAGCTGCACATGGACAACACACCTGTAATTCCAGCACTAGGAGATAGAAGTAGGGGTATTGCAAGTTGGAAACCAGCCTGGGCTACACAGTGATCTCCTGTCTCAAAAACAAAAAACAAAAAAACCAAACAAAAAAAAACCTGAGAAAAAAGGATCTTGTCCCAAAGCTTCTAGAGGGGATGGATCCCTGCTCATATCTTTGATTGCAGACTTCTAGCCCGTGAGGGAATAAGTTTTCATTGTTTTAAGCCACCAGTTTTGTGGTTTTGCATAGAGCTGTGGGAAACAAACACAGCTTGGGAGTGCCAGCCCACAGGAATTGCTCAACAGAGGTCCACTCATCAGAGTCATCGACCACCGCATCCTAATTTGGTGCCAAAGCTGCACAGTGGCACATCACACCTACTTTTTGGAGGGTGACTGTCCTAGTAATGGAAGATGGAGTCACAGGGGGCTATCAGAGCCCCAACACAGAAGGGGAAGCATTAAACTCACTCAGGAGAAGGAGAATTTGGAGGCCAAATCAAAGACAACTGGTGATCAAATTGAGATCCCCAGAAGCTGCCTTCCCTTCAATTCCAACAGCTGGGACCCTCCTAACTGGACACTTAAAAGTCTGGAAGGTTTGAGGGGGACAGGATTGAAACTTGGCACATGCTGAGTTGGAGACCTCTGTGTGACATCCAAATGGAATTGTCTGGTAGACAGTTGGATATTTCAGTCTGTAAATTTGGAGGCTAGTCCGCGTTAGAGAAAAAGAGCAGGGAATCACTGGCATCTTTGTGTAGCTCCTGAAGCCGAGGATGGTGTGTGGTCAGTCACAGAGAGGATGCAGAGCCACCAGAAGTCACCAGACAAAGGAGGGGGACGGGGGACAGTGGAAGAAACCAAGACAGCATGCTTAGGAAGCAGAGGGAATTAAAATGAGCCCCCGGGGACTCCTGGGGAGATTCTTTCCCTCCTGTCTCCTGGCTGGCCTCCACATTATATAGAAACTGAGCGCATGTGATATTTTTTGTACTAATTAAGTATTTTCACTTTCCATTCTTAATTTACAAAGAAATGGCTTGGAATGACAACACACTTCATTTCTTCTCGCGGGAACACAGCGCTAGGGAATTTACAGCTGACCGATTCCTCACAGCCAGCGTGGAACCACAATTAGGAAACTAGACAGCAGCCACAGAGTCACTACGGCCAAAAGAAAGGCCACGTTGGCGTAACCACACAGTAATCACGCCTGCTGCCAGGCTACATGGCTCTCCCTGCACACACACGAACCAGATGCCCCTGCCACGTGGGGAAGGAATCCCTTTGAAAGAAGCCCTCCCAGGAGAGGGGTGCAGCTGACTGCATAGCTCCCGGCCCCTGCTGCAGCTGCACAAGGGCTTGGTCTGCGTTCTGCAGCCCCCAGCTGCCCACCCCCCTCTTTCTTTGCTGCTTCCCAGACCCTGAATGCCCCTAGGACGCAAGCCCACTTGTTCCCTTCCAAACTTCTCCATCTCTGTTCCTCATTTGCCGTGGGCCTGTTCTTGGAAAGTCCTAGTCCTTCCTTTTCCTGTGCTGTCCGGGCTAGGCATTACTTGGGGTGTTTAAAGTCACCCTGGGGGGGTTTAGAGAGGGGGCTTGATGGCGACTATGAAGAGCTGGAGAATGGCAAGGTCATGAGCACCCTCATTCTCCCTGACTCCCCATCCATCCCTCAGCTGGGTCCATCCCTAAGATGGAGGTCGCACCCTTCAAGACTGGAAGCCCTTGGCTGCCGAGGAGCTTCCCCGGGAAAGACCCCCGCCCCGCCCTGCAGCCGAGCAGATCCGCAGTCTTACTGGGCTGGAGCTTCTGGTCGCATATAAAGGAGCACGGAGCCGTGGGCGTAGGCTGGGCCATCCTGCCCCAAAGGCTGGAGCATGTTCCAGCCGGACTTAGCGCTTCAGGCTGTGCGTGGGGCTTTGTGACGCGTCGCCAAGGAGACGCGGGTCGCCTTCTCTGCAGCTCAGTGGCGCCCTCTGTGAGGGTGGCTAACCGGGCCTGCGCAGGGATGGGTGCCAAAAGCCAAGCGTTAGGTGCTGATCTTGCTTTCACTGAGCCTTCGCAAACGTCTTGAGTATTTGGGAAAACGTGGAGGAAATGGAACAGGAAGTTTAATGTGAGACTTTCGAGTGCAAATTTTCATCTGTTCATAACTTTCAGCTGAAACAAATGTGCACAAAGTTTTGGCGGATCTGTACAGTGAACAGGGACCACGCAAGAAGACAAAATCATGGGTGGTGGGGTTTAAGGGGAATTAGAAGTAGAGTTTCTGTGACAGTCCATGCTATCAAACCACTCAGCTTTGTGTTACTACAAGGAAATGCCTGACACCAGCTACTTAAAAAGGAAAGAGAGGCTTATTTGGGCTCACAGTTTTGGAGGTTCAAGGACAGGCTTGGCAAGGCCATCTTGCCTATCTCACTTCATTGCTGGAAGGCAATGTGGGGATGGGTGTCACAGCCAGTGGTCACACCTCCACGTAGAAATCAAAGAGAGAGAGACAAAGCTCATGTGATCCCTTGGAGGGCATGCCTCTTGTGACCTAAGGACCTCCCACTAGGCTCCACCTCCTGAAAGTCAACAGCACCTCCCAATGGTTCCTCCTGGAACCTTTCCCAAATGGACCTGCTCATGTGAAACCATAGCATCTCAACACAAGAGTTCAGAGAGGGAGCAGAAGGTGAAAAGTGTGCTTAGAGACAGAAGGAAGAAGGGACACTT